CTCGGTGTCAATGTGTCGCCTCCAGCAGCCGCGCGCTCGTGGATGACGGCGGCGCGGAGACGCACACCCTCGCATGTTCTTGTTTTGGGGCAACAGCAGCCTGGAGCTGGGCCTAGGGTGGCGGGGGCCAGGCCGCGCGGCCGCGGCCTTGAGTCTGGGGCGAGCAGGCGAGGTCGCGCGAGGCTCCCTGGGGCGCCGCGGGGTTGGGGCGAGAGCTCGCGCGCGTGCATGAGTGCCAGGGCGTGAGACGTGGCGCTGAGGCCCACTGCTAGAGCCCGACTAAGCTGGTCGCAGGCCTCGCGCGTCCGCGGCGCGGGCAAGACCCTCCATGTTCTTCGGTCTCGATGTCAACGCGCTGCCTCCAGCAACCGCGCGCTCGTGGATGACGACGGACGCGCGGAGGCAGATCCAGGGCACAGGAACACAGCGTGGGTCTCGGGGGGCGGGGGGGGGGTCAGGGCTTCGGGGTTGCGTGGTCCAGGCTGTGCAGTCGAAGGCTTTAGGCTGGGGGCTGAACCAGATGCGTACTTACGCACGTTGGCTCGGAAGTGAAGGTCGGTGACACCTCGGAAGGGTGTCCTCGACGTCCTTATGGTTTGGGGTATTTTGGCCCGCGGAGGGTCTCATGTTCTTGTCCGATGTTATTGTGGCCTTGTTCCGGCCGTATTCACGTCGGGATGTTCCCGACTTCCGATCAGATAATGCATGTTTACATTGGTTGTTTGCCATTGGGTTCTGGAGTTCAACAGCTCTCACATTGCATCATATCTGTCAGCGGCATGCCGCGGCCGCGCGCGCTTGCGAGTTACATGTTTGCATTCAGTGTCGTATATCCACATTGGGATGTCCCCGTCTTCCGATCAGAGAATGCATGTTTTCACTGGGTTTTCGCCATTGGGTTTTGGAGCTAAGCCTGCGGCATGCCGCCGCCGCGCGCACGCTCGTTGGCGATTGGCATGTTTGCATTCAGTGCCATGTATCCACACGGGGATGTCCCCGCCTTCCGATCAACGAATGCACTGTTACATTGGGTATTCGCCATTGGGTTTTGGAGATCAAATTCGCCCCGTTGTATAAAACCTATCAGCGGCATGCCGCCGCCGCGCGCGCGCGCGAAATTTCGCCTCGCTTATATAAAGTCTATCAGCGGCATGCCGCCGCCGCGCGCGCGCGCTGGCGCTCGGCATTTTTGCATCCAGTGTCGTATATCCACATTTGGATGTTCCCGTCTCCCGATCAGAGAATGAATGTTTACATTGGGTTTTCGCTATTGGATTTTGGAGTTAAGCCTCGTTCCCGTTGCATTAAAAAATATCAGCGGCATGCCGCCGCCGCCGCGCGCGCGCGCGCGTTGGCGATTGGAACGTGTGCACCCAGTGTCGCAGATCCACATTGGGATGTTCCCTTCTTCCAATCAGAGAATGATTTTTACATTGGGTTTTCGCCATTGGATGTTGGAGTTCAGCCTCGCTCCCGCTGCATCAAATCTATCAGCGGCGCGCGCGCTGGCGATTGGAAGATGTGCATTCGATGTCGTATATCCACACAGGGATGTCCCCGTTTTCCGACCGGATAATGAATTTATGCATTGGGTTTTCGCCACTGGGTTTTGGAGTGCAACATCGCTCCCGCTGCATCGAATCTATCAGCGGCATGCCGCCGCCGCGCGCGCTGGCGATCTGCATTTTCGCATTCAGTGTCGTATATCCACATCGGGATGCTCCCGTCTTCCGAACAGAGAATGCATGTTTACATTGGGGTTTCGCCATTGGGTTTTCGAGTTAAGTACTGCCTCAATTGTATCAAATCTATCAGTGGCATGCCGCCGCCGCGCGCGCGTTCGCTGGCGATTGGCATTTTTGCATTCCGTGTCGCATATCCACATGGGGATGTCCCCGTCTCCCGATCAGAGAATGCATTTTTTACACTGGGTTTTCGCCATTGGGTTTTGGAGATCAAATTTCGCCCCGTTGTGTAAACCTTATCAGCGGCATGCCGCCGCCGCGCGCGCGCGCGACATTTCGTCCCGTTGCAAACTATCGAGCAGCGGCATGCAGCCGCCGCCGCGCGCGCGCTGGCGCTTGGCATTTTTTGCATCCATTGTCGTATATCCACATTTGGATGTTCCCGTCTCCCGATCAGAAAATGAATTTCACATGGGATTTTCGCCATTGGGTGTTGGAGCTAAACATCGCCCCCGTTGTATAAAATCTGCCAGCGGCGTGCCGCATTTGCGTATTCAGTGCCGCTTCGCAACCCAGACAGGGTGCGCGGTGCGCAGGGAGTGGTCCTTGAGCGCAGTCTCTATCCACGCTGGGGTCGCAGGGCGTGGCAGGCGTGGCCTGACGCCGAGAGGGGGCGCGCAGGAATCTGCCCCTGCACGCTGGGCGCCAGGGCGGTCGCGGGTACGTTTTCAGCGATCCAATGTGTCCCGTCTCCAATTTGTTTTCTACAGCCACACTACAGCGCTGGGGAAAACCATGTTTTAACAGTCTCCCCAAACTAATTTGTGAAACCGTTTTTAGACACTAGATGGGGCCATGGACCCAGTGAGGGGTGTGCCGACATGGGCGTCGCGGACGCATGTGGGCGGTGGCATTGGGGCCCTGGCCACGAAACGTGCGATGGGTGTGCCAACATGGGTGTGGCGGATGCGTGCGGGCGGTGGCACTGGGGCTTTCGGGGGGGGGGGGTCCTGGGGCCGCGAATCTTGTGAAGGGTGTACCGACATGGGTGTGTTGGGCGCATGCGGGCGGTGGCATTGGGGCTTTCGGTGGGTCTTCTCTATGGGGTCACGAAGCGTGTGCAGGGGCGTGCCGATCTAGGTGTCGATGATAGTGGTGATGACGGTGATGATGATGAAGATGATGACGGCTATGGTGGCGCGAGTGGTGGTGCTGATGGTGATGATGGTGATGGCGGTGGTGACGATGTTGATGGTGGGAGGCGATGGCGATGATGATATTGATGGGTGCAGGAGGAATGGATGATGATAAGAGGAGGGAGGCAGGAGAACGCGGGGCGCTGTCATCAAAACGAGGACCCAACACATTGTAATCCCACCAGCGCGCAGGTGGTCTAGAGCGTTTCCTTTTTCCAATCTCCTGCCTCTCCCTGCTCGGGCGGTTTACCCCCCCCCTCCCTGCGTCTGGGCGGGCTCACCCGCGATGTGGCAGAGGGTCCTTTTTGATCCAAGATGGCCCCAAGAGGGCTTGAGCGCAAGATGGGTCCAACGATGCTGGGACATAGTGGTAGATAGGTCAATATAGTTTCCGACGCGCGTCCAAGAGGCCTCAAGACGGCCCCGATACGGTTTCAAGTGCCCTCCGAAGCCTCCAAAGACCCCCCCCCCCAAGAGGCCGCAACATCATTTCAACACTTAAAGACAGTACATGTTGTTTGCCTTTTCGCTGTTTCGCCCCCGATGGGCTCTCGAGGCCTCAAGAAGGCCCCAAGACGGCCCAAGAGAGTCCCAAGTGGTCCAAGATGGCCCCAAGACGGCCCCAAGAGCGCCCAAGAACGCCCCAAAAGCGGCCCAAGAGGGCCCCGAGACCGCATTTTTGAGCATCCGAGGGGGCGATGGGAATTCAGACCCCTTCTTGTTGAGCGAAAGGGCCCAGGACGGCCCCAAGAGGCCCCTCAGGCATCCCAAAAGAGCCCCAAGAAGGCCACCAGACCCCCCAAAAGAGCCCCAAGATGACCCCAAGACGCCCCCAAAGAGCCCCAAGAGGGCAGAGGACCTCAAGAGAGCCCCAAGAAAGAGCTCCAGGAGGGCCCCAAGAGGGTCCCAAGAGAACCCCAACAGAGCCCCAAGATGGCTCCAAGTTTCGAATCGCACGCGAGTTCAAGATACAACTCAGTGCAACAGCCATTACGAGTCATCGAAACACCCCTCACCCCTCATCGAAGCACCATCGTAGTTTGCACTGATTCCCATCTTAGATTTCAATGCGGGGAGCTCTTTGTGATCCTCGTTTTCCCGAAGACGGCCGCGCAACTGCATGCGTCCTGCCGCCCATGATTCACTGACTGCTGATCGTTTCTGGACGGGCTGGTTGGGATATGCGAAGCGTGAAGAATTTCAATGATGTTTTGAGCCCGGTTCTCAGAGAATGGTGGTTTCGCTTGAGACATCCTCCACAATCGAGCCCCAGCGTACCCTTGGGTACCCCAGAGCCAGTACCCTATAGACCCCGCTTCGGAGCCTCATGGAGCTTCCTGGGGCATCTTGCGGCATCCCGGGGCGCCCTGGTGCCCCCTGGGGCCTTCTGATGCTTCGTGTGTCATCCTGGGGCGTTCAGGGGTCTTCTCGGGCCTCCTGAAAACTCCTTGCCTCAGAACCGCGTGCACACACAGAGACACAAATCACACCCAACACATCACACTCAACACAGAAACACACACGCGCACACACCTACGTCGCACCGAACATACACACATAACACACAGCGCATAACAAACACAACACACACACACGCAAACACACAGAAATCACCAGACGCATACACAAACCACACAACAAACATACATGGCACACGCTCACCGGTCCAAGGCTTGTGCCCCTGGCGTAACGATCTGCGTGAGGGGTGCCACCGGTTTCAGAATTTCGAGGATGTCCCCCGTGTGTGTGTGCGCGCGTGTGTACGTGCGCGCGTGTGTGTGTGGTGTGGTGTGTGCGTGTGTGTTTGTGCATCTGCATGCCCGTTCGCGTGTGTGCTTGCGGTTGCACAGCAAACTCGCGCAGTTGGTGTCTCTGACTCTCTCTCTCTCTCCCTCTCTCTCTATATGCCTTGTGTGTGTATATGTAGAGCGCGCTCCCTCTCTCTCTCACACACACACTCTCTCTTTATATATATATATATATGTAGCTATCGATATCTCTCTCTCTTGGTTTGTTGTGTTGCCTTGTGATTATTTGTTTTCTCTCTCTCTCTCTCTCTAGGTGTATATATACATGCCCCTCTCTCGCCTCTCGGGCTGCCCGCGGCGTTCCCCGGGTCCTCGTGCCGAAGTGTTCCAGCTTCTTTGTGTGGTAGTACAGGTAGCATTCACGCCTCGAGTCGTACTTCTTCAGGCCGTTGCGAGTTGCCCACGCGGTGTAAGATGCTGCCTTGGAGGAGGGGGGGGCGAGGGGGAGGGCGGAGCATGAACGAGGAGGGAGGAGGAAGCGGAGGAGGAGGAGGATATAGGGAGGAGGAGGAGGATAGGGAGGATGAGTTGGAGGAGGGGGAGGGAAGGGGAGGCGGAGGAGGGGGAGGAGCGGGGAGGAGGAGGAGGAGGAGGAGGAGGAGGAGGAGGAGGAGGAGGAGGGGCCAGGTGGGAGAGCAAGGGGAGGGATATCAGGGAAAGGGCGAGCAAGAGAAGGGGGGAGGATAGTGGAGTATGGAAGGGGATGGAGGGTGGGGGGAATGTAGAGCTATGAGCTGGATGAGAAGCACAAAGGCGGAGGAGGGAAAGGATGCGAAGGGAGTGCGGGGTCGATTCGACGAGGAAGAGTGACGAGGGAAAGGATACGCGAGGAGGAGTCGGCAGTTGAGCGAGAGGCGAAAGGCGAAGGAGGGAGGATGGTGTTAGCCCGGGCATGGAAACGCTGGGCCTGGCGTGGACATTTGAAATCGTCGGCCAGATGCTCCTCGGACACCCAGCACGACGTCGATTCTGATGAGCTCCTGGCTGGGTGATGATTTGGGAGCCCCTCAAGGGGTCGATATCTGGGTCCACTGGCGAAACATTACAGTCGGGCTGCTGAAATGAGGAACGCTAGATAAGGAACGAAGCCCCTCTGCGGCTTCAAAAAAGCCTGGGTGCACGAGAAGGGCTAGAGGAACAACTGCGGAAGGACGTAAGGAACATCGAGCCCCTTCCGAATCCAAACTGTTCCTTATTTCAGCGTCTTGGCTGTATTGCCCTCGTCTCCAGATTGTTTTCCTCGCGCGAAGAACCAGGCCCGCCCCGGTGAAGTCTGCGCCGGCCGCCTCCCACAGCTCCCTCAGGCCCCGCTTCACCTATGGACGGGAGGGAGGAAAGGAGCAAAGGGGGAGGAGCAGCAGCAGTAGGGAGGAAGAGGGGGGCGCTTGGCGAAGAGACAGCGAGGAGTAACACATAGTGAGGGGAGGATAAGGATGGGACGAATGGAGCAACAGGAGGGAGAGTAAATGATTCCTCTTAGAGGAAGCGGAGAAGGAGGGGCCATGGGGCGAGGAGGAAGACCAGGAGGAGGAGGAGGAGGAGGAGGAGGAGGAGGAGGATGGACAGCGGAGGATCGGAGGAAAATAAGGAAAAGTATGATAGGCATCAGCAGAAGAAGGGGGCTCCGGGAGGGCGCCCGCCTCGCTTGCTGCATTGGTCGGAGGGGGAGTGGGGCAACATGAGGGGGGGTTGGAGGACGCGGAGGACGCCGTAGAAAGAGGAGAGGGCGATGCGGGGAAACGGGGGAGGTAGGAGGCAGATGCAGGAGGACAGGCTCCCAACGGACCTTCTGGTTCAGGGCGCCCTCGTATTTGACCAAGAACTCCTGTTGGTGCCGCCGCACCCCCATCGAGGCCCTTCCCCTCCCTCGTCTCCTCCGCCTCCTCTTTCTCCTGCTTCTCCTCCTCCTCCTGCTCCTCCGCCTCCTCCTCCTCCTCCTCCTCTTCCTCCTCCTCCTCCTTCTCCTTCCTCTATCCAGCCCCCTATCGTGCATTTCCGATGTCGCTCCTCATCTTTATACTTCTCAATGTTATCCCCACTCCTCCTAGCTAGTTGTTCATTATTCGTCAGCCGGGAAGCTCCTGCGCTTCCTCGCTGCTGACGTCGATCTCGCCCTTGGTCGCCTTCTCAAGGTAGCGGTTGAACATCTTGTCGCGCGCCAAGGTTTTGCGCTTCACCTCGGGGGGCGGGCGGGAACGGCGAGAAATGGCGGCCTGCCCCCAGGGGGGATATCGGTCCGTGCAGCAGGGCTGCCGAGGGATATTGGGGACGCCCTCAAGGTGTGTGTGTGTGTGTGGACTCTGGAGTTGGGGACTCTGGTGACTTTGCGGGGCCCACCCAGGTCTCCTTTCTGCTCTTCGGGCCACGTCTCTTGGTCGGGCCGGGGAGCAGCGACTCTACGCCGAACAACGCATTGTCCGTCACTGGGGTCATGGCCGCCGCGCCTGGCCTGCTGGGTTCTAGTCTAGGGCGGGCTGGGCTGGTCTGGACGCCCATCAATGACTTGGGCAGTATAAATTGCATCGGACGCATGCTGAACAAGCCTCAGCTCTGTCCTCAGTCCTCAGTACTGAAGTGTCCTCAGTACTGAAGTGTCCTCAGTACTGAAGTGCGTATGTGCGGGGGCGTATGTTTACACGTGTCGTGACGGGGATTGTGCATGAGTGCATGATAGGGCGGATACGTTTCGTGATGCCTTCGGGTGTCCTCAGGTATCCTGGGGGGAGGTCCATGGAGGGCTCTAAGTGTATGCGGGTGTCGCTTGATGATCATGCCTGTCTGCGGATGTCCCTTGATGTCCCATGGTGTCTGTGGGTGTCCCTGGCTGTCCGTTGATGTCTGCTGTTGTCCCTGGATGTCCTATGGTGTCTGTGAGTGTCCGTGGGTGTCCCTTTCTGTCTGCGGGTGTCCCTTGATGTCCCATGATGTCTGATTGTGTCCCCTGATGTCCCTTGATGTTTGATGGTGTCCCTAGATGTCCCTTGATGTCTGCGCGTGTCCCGTGATGTCCCCTCGTGTCTGCTGGTGTCCCTTGGTGTCCCATGGTGTCTGTGGGTGTCCCATGGTGTCCCTTGATGTCCCTTGATGTCTCTTGATGTCCCTTGGTGTCCCAGGGTGTCCCATGGTGTCTGTGGGTGTCCCATGGTGTCCCTCGATGTCCCTTGATGTCTCTTGATGTCCCTTGGTGTCCCATGGTGTCTGCGGGTGTCCCTTGATGTCTCTCGATGTCCCTTGATGTCTCTTTATGTCCCTTGGTGTCCCATGGTGTCCCATGGTGTCTGCGGGTGTCCCTTGATGTCTCTTGATGTCTGATGGTGTCCCTGGATGTCCCCTGATGTCTGCACGTGTCCCGTGATGTCCCTAGGTGTCCCTAGGTGTCCCTTGGTGTCCCATGGTGTCTGTGGGTGTCCCTGGATGTCCCTTGGTGTCTGCTGGTGTCCCTTGATGTCCCATTGTGTCTGTGGGTGTCCCTGGTTGTCCGTTGATGTCTGCTGGTGTCCCTGGATGTCCCATGGTGTCCGTGAATGTTTTATGGGTGCCCCTATATGTTTGCGGGCGTCCTTGGAGGCGCCTCGGTGTTTAGAGGTGCCCCTGGTCATTTGGCGTTTGCGAAGGTCCCCCGATGCCCCCGAGCCCACGGGTACCTCTGCAGCGTCATGTGATGCATGCGCTCTTGGATGCCCAGAGCGGTGTCCACGCGTGCCCGCGCATGTAATTTACGTTCGTTGTGCTTGGGTGCCTTGGTATATATGCATGCTCGCGTGTGCTTGCCCACACCTAGTTGCAAATTGCAACAAGAGTAAACGCAACAGGGCAGCAATGGCAACCGCAGCAAAAATCAGGTAGCAGCGTAGCATCCAGGAATAGCAAACGCAATAGCAATAGAGCGCCATGACAAGATAGGTGGACACAGCAACAACAAGGGCACTGAACATGCGTGTGCACACACGACATCGGAAGGGCGCACGATAAATTCGGGATTGGAGGCAGACGATCGATGGACCTTGTCACGGCCGATACCCATGCGTATGGCTCATTTTGCGCATCACATGCGATCGCTAAATGTGCACGTTTCTTCCTGCGTAGCAGAACTTGTCGTTGCAGTATCGTGTTGGTTGCATTTGGTTTACCCGTGTTTTCGATAATTGTTCAGGGTTACTTGGGTATATTCATGCGTTTCGCTGTTTTCAGTGTCTTGACGCGTGTTGTTTCGATGCCTATGTTGTCTTATAATGTCTTGGAATGTCTTGGAATGTCTTGGAATGGCTTGGAATGTCTTGGAATGTCTTGGAATGTCTTGTTTGGGCTGTCTCGTCGTGTCCCGCGATGTCCCGCGGTGTCCCGCGGTGTCCCGAACTGTCCCGAAATGTCCCGAAATGTCCCGCGATGTCCCGCAATGTCCCGCTTTGTCCCGTTTCGGTGCCCCGTTTTTTTCGTCCCTCATGAGGACATATGAAGACATTTGAAGACATATGAGGACAAGGGAAGACACCCTCGTGAGGACATATGAAGACATTTGAAGACATACGAAGACATTTCAAGACGCTTCCGCCCCCACGGTTTCGGGACATCGGGCTTCCGCGCCCCCACATTTTCGGGACATCGGGTTCAGCGCCGCCCAAATTTCGGGACATCCAAGTCCGCCAGCGCTGAAAATCAAGACATCGGGCTTCGCGGCCGCCAGATTTTCGGGACAATGGGCTTATGCGCCCCGGGATTTTGGGACATCGGACGTTTGCCCCGCCAAACTTTTGGGACATCTTGCTTCGCCCAGGCCAGAAATCAAGACATCGGGGCAGGTTCCCCCGCGTTATCGGGACATCCAAGCCCGCTGGGCCCGAAAAACAAGACATCGGGCTTCGGCGCCCCCAATCTTCAGGACATCGATATCAGTATGGGACCTCGGCCTGCGGCGCCCTCAAATCATGCATCTGATGAAACCTATTGCGCGTGTGTGTATGCATATGCATTTTCCTTCCATTATACGAATATACAATCGATCCGTCAGGCTCGCACTTGTACTATATTGTGGTGCGGGTAAGGTGCCATTATTGGAACTATGACATTTTGCTGTTTTAGCGCGTATAACTGTCCATACGCCCATGTATTGACTCACGTGTGTCATATTACAGCGATTCTGACACATGTAGGTTGTGTTATGACAGTGCGCCATTGTGTTGGATATATTTGGATATTTTTGCAAGTAATATGCGTACGTGTGAACCCCAATCGGCGCAACTGCGAGTCTATCTGTTATCACGAATACAAAGGGCCGTTATATGTATACAAATACCTATACATATGCATACCTGCAAATACATGTGTATATTGCATGGCATGTGGACATTTACAACTACATGTTGACAATGTGTATATGTTTACGTACACATACACAAATATACATACATATACACAATTATATGTGTATGTAAATGTATGTTCGTAAAATTGCATTTGTACAGTCGTATCTGTATAAATCTGCATAAACACATACACTATATGTGCATACACATGTGTGTACACAGTAATGCAGACTTCTCTTATACGTGTATGTATGTATGCGTTGGTTTATATGTATATAAGCATATATAGATTTACGTCTGCGCATTGCTTTGTCCATGCATTTGTTGTTCGTGCGTTGGCCCCATTGAGTGCCTGTAGGAGGCGGAGGTGGAGGCCCGAGGGAGGGTGGCCACAGAGGAGGACGGCTAACCAGCACGCAGGGCATTCGCCGAGGACTTGCAACAATGCAAGGCCGTGCCCGACAAGGCCGTGCCAGTACTATGACTTACGGTATAGCAGGGTCATCCTCCTATAGTCCACCTCTACCCCTCTCTTCCACTCCGCGCCCTCCTTCCATCCGCCCTCTTCGAGCGCTGGTCCTGACGAAAGCTGTTGGGCCTGGACCTGCGAGGGTCGAGCCTGTCCATCGGGTCCCTCCTCCTCCCCCTCTTCCTTCATCCTCATCCTTCTCCCCCTCTCCTTTCTCCCTCTTCACCCTCTTCCATCATCCGCATTCGCCTTCTCCTCCACCTCCTCCCTCCTGCCCCTCCCTCATCATCCTCGTCCTCCTCCCCCTCTCCCTTCTCCTCTCTCCCCCCACTCCCCGGGTGCATTCTCAGCACTGAAGCAGAACGTTCAGTGGGCCCACTGTCCATTACTCAACTATAATGGCCCCTCTGCGCATGCATTGGAGTCAGCCGGCCTGAAAACAGCCAGCATGATCTGACCTCGCGCCGCCCAGCGCGCGGCCTCGGGTGTCCGACTTGGCGTTGCCCAGCAAATGGCTAGAGGTCGCGGAGCAACTCGGCCTTGTACGTAATGGAGAAGACGAGGTCACCCGTTAGAGGCGGTCCAGCAAATTCAGACATGCTCGCGAAGATGTGATTGCTCTCGTCAGGCACGTCTGAGAGGGACGTGAAGGCCTTCTTGAGCTCGATGGAAGTCGCCTTCTCCGACCCTGCGATGCGGCGGCATTTGAACACATTGTCTGCACAATCTTGAGCGTGCGTCTTACTGCTTTCCTTCTTTCCCTCACTGGCCTTTTTCTCCTCGTCGTCACTGATCTCCTGCGCGGAGTCCTTGCCCCCTGGGATCGTCGCGCCGAGCGTGCCAGCCAAGGTGCCCTCGCTGCCGCCACCGCCCTTCCGCTTCTGGCCAGCGGGGTCCCCAGTGACTTCGTTGCGCTCGGCATCTTGATTCTGCTCCCTGACGACGTTGCTCAGGGGCCAGTGCTTGTCCCTCTGGCTGTGCGCCGCGCCCTGCTTGTCGTTCGCCAACGAGACGTTTGCCCTCTGATCCATATCCTTGAGGTGGACAGCGGACGGCTTCACTTGCCCGCGATGTTCAGACCCTGTTACCTCTGGACACTTTGAAGGCCGAGCTACTTCACGAACACGTTGTGGTAGCAAGGCACCCCTGTTGGACGTTGCGGTGGGCGCCTCGGACTTCCTGCCCAGCTTCTGAATCACAGCGGAGGGTGCCTGGACGCCTGGATGCGCCTGAATGCACTCCTTCTCATGTTTCTTCTCCTTCTCATTCTCCTTCGGGTTGATGCACATGTAAGCCTCGTGCTTGGGATGCGTGTCTAGATGAGCCAGGACCTTTTCATCTTGGCGGGCTGTATCACGGCTGTGTTTATCATATCCGAGGGTTCCTTGAACGGCTTGAAGTCCTGGGTATCCGAGGGTGTCCTGTAGTTCTTGGGGCAGTGAATCTTGTTGGGTCTCCTCTATCATGCCGCCGAAATCATGGGGTGGCTGCGTCATGTCTGAGGCACTCGCGAGGCCAGCCTGGACTGGAGGCTAGAAGCCAAGAAGCTTGAGCCTCAAAGTGCTGCAGATTGGCGGGGGCACTGGCGAGCGCAGGCCACATGATATGTTAACATTGCGTGGCTGCGAGAAGGTGCGTTTGTACAAACAATACGGCGCACCTCTGCTGTGGGGCCATGAATGCAATGGCCACCTCTGCTGTGGGGCCCATGGGGCGACCTCTGCTGTGGGGCCCTGAATGGCGCCTCGTGGAGCGGGCCCCCGGGGCTGGGTCAATGGGTTAGGCAATGCGACCAATGATTAAGCCTCAGCGGAGCACGAGACCGCGGCATCTTCGCTCCCCAAAGCTCTCTCCACTACCCTCCCTCACTCCTCCTTCTCCTCCCTTCTTCTGAAACTCCTCCCCCGCCTCCTCCTCCTCACTCTTCTCATCCTCATCCTTCGTCCTCCTGATCATCCCTCGTCGCCCTCCCCATCGCTTCCGCATCCCTCATCTCCCGGTCCCCTCCCCTAGTCGCTCTCCTCCTATCCCAATGTCCTTCTCCCTCTCTCTATTCCTCTCCTCATCTTCCTTCCTGCGCATCCCCTGGGCGGACGCGCGTGACGCGTGCGCCGAGCCGCCGAGGGAGGGCGAGACGCGAGGCGCGACGGCCGCCACCCTGCCGAATGAGGAGGAGGAGGAGGGGCGACGACGAAAACGAGCAGTTGGAAACAGGACGACAGGGCGAAGGAGGAGGGAAGACAGGAGGAAGTAAGGAGGAAGGCAGAAGGAGGGCACTCACATGTAGGGGGGGGAAGAGCCCTCCCCCCCGGCCCTCGCACAATCGCCACGGAGGAAATGAGGGAGGAGGAGAAGGAGGTAGGCGTCTCTTCCCATTAGGCGGGCCCCAGGGGCCCGTTGGGGGCCCAGGGAAGAACAGCATCGTTTTGTTGTTCCCCCCCTCACCCTTTGGGCAATGATGGTTGCGGCGAGAAGTTATTCTCTTACTTTTTTCCTCTGCCTGTCGGAAATGTTGCCTGTCAAATTGTGACTGCAGATTCCAACATGTCAAGCGCTAATTGGAAGACTTAGCAACGCTATGTGCAATGCCTCCCACGGGCGAACGTGCGGCCTGTGAACAACACCGCAAGTACAATGTACCATTCCGACGATGCAACGCATCGAATAGTTTGTATATTCCAATCAGCTGCAAACGCATTCCCGTACCATGTGCACGTAGCTATTCATTGCTAACCATAGCCGCTCGCTCAAATAATTTTACACACTCGCAACTTTGCCTAACGGTTCTGAGGCTCGCCAGATGCAGGAGGCAATTGTGATTCCAATGTGTCCATATATTGTTTTGCCAGAAACATCTCATTCGCCAACTCGAACGATTGCCCCCCGACCTCTATTGCGTACTCAGGTCCTCCCGCTATCTTTCTCAATACGTTATACATCGTGACCCCGACGTCGCACTTGTGATCTCGATATACAATATCGTCCCTGAATCGGAGCGGCACTAACATCGCAACCATGACTTTGTTATTGCCTGCTAAGCGCATGAATCTCTGGCCCGAGCCAATTGGGGAATACTGTCTGAAATGTCCTTCCATGATTCTGAGTTCCCGCGGTGTCCGGAAATCGTGTTCTTTAGTTCGATTGAAGGTCGGCGACCAAAATTCAGTTTGGTAACAGTCTGTGAACGTCATTACGACGAGCGCCTGTGGGCATAGCCACGATAGTGATTCAAACGCGCAGGTTTTGAATTGCGCAGAACTCTTAAAGTATTTGCTGCATCCATCATCTGTCGCCTCTGAAAAATGTGGGGAGCCCCAGAATGCTAGACCGAACTCGTAGCCCATCTCGTCGATCGCTTTGAACGTGCCCTTGAACCCTGATATGCCGTAGTGCGGCCCTTGTGCACCTAGGTCACAGAGTCTCTTTGAATATGTCCTCGTCTCACGATGCAGCTTTATTTTATCCTCGTCGTCCGAGTCGAGCGGGGGCGGTTGCTCTTCCAGGTCCGTCAGAATCAGTTTTCGAAATGGGAATGAATCGTTGTCCAACATTCCAGCAGCATCACTGTCCATCCTGTTGTCCAATATTCCAGCAGCATCACTGTCCATCTTGTTGTCCAATATTCCAGCAGCATCACTGTCCATCTTGTTGCCCAATATTCCAGCAGCATCAGTGTCCATGTTCGGATTGTCGATAATCACGCCGCGGCCCAAATCACAAAAACTGCAAAGCCAAATGGGCTACGGAATTGATGGTGGAGTGGCTCCAGGATCGACCCAGGATCGACGCCAGCTCGGCTTGGGTTCTGGGAGGCCTCTCGTCGCCACGCCATGGCCCTCTCTTGGGCTTCGTAATTACGATCTAGAATCATCCGTATAATGAATCACTCCTGAAGGGTCCTTGGCGCCATTCCGCCGACCCCCCGAGAGTTCGCGACGACATTCCCAATATGCATCCCCATCCTGTGCTGTCGGGCCCTCGTTTTGAATCCGCAGCCCCGGGCGCATTCACCTTCGCCCCCCCCGCCTCATTTCGGCGCGCCCCTCACACGTCGCGCGGCTCCATGAGGAACTCCCCACCGAGGGGTCCGAGCCCCCATGCAGTGGGCGCACTTTTTTGCATGCCCCTCGCACGCTTCGCGCTATTTAAGAAGCGGCTGGGGGGGGGATGGAGGGGGCCGCGCCCGCCATCCCACGAGAATCGTGGGTGTGTGGGCGCTGCGCTCTCGCCTGCGGGGCGTCGTGGTCTCGCAATGCCATGGGGCGACAACCAGACACCTTCTACATGGAAAATATGGAGGACGCAGGCCGAGGGGAAGACGTACATCCGTACATCCCATGCCGCACGGTTGCCGCACCCCCGCGCGCGCCGCCCCATTTTTGCTCGCGGTGCGCAGCACAGCGACAGCTAGCGCAGACCGTCGACGGGCTTGTTTATGTTCATCGACGAAGACGTTCAAAGCACACGCACGCACGAACGCACGCACGCACGCACGCACGCACACACAACACACACACACACACGCACCAGCACACATGCACCAACACACACGCATGCACACACACACGCACACACTGATCGGATATCCTCGCATGTATAATACCTGTGGCACCCCTCGCGCAGATCGCGACGCCAAGGCCTGACGTGCATATGTTTCGCCATACGTTGTTCTCAGCCATCCTGTGGTGTTGGGTCCTCGCTTTGACGAGGCGGCGCCCAGCGTCTCATCCTCCTCCTCCCCTCCAATCATCGTCATCATGCTCATCATCATGATCGCCACTATCATCAGCACAATCATCATCACCATCATCATCATCGTCGTCATCATCATCGTTATCAGTTTCGGCACACACACACCTCTTACGTTTCGTGGCCCCATAGGGATCTCCACCGAAGGCCCCAGTGGTTGCGCCCGCATGCCTCTCCCACACCTATCTCGGCACACCCCTCACACGTTTCGTGGCCCCTGAGCTCCACCAAAGGCCCCAGCGGTTGCGCCCGCATGTTTCACTCACACCATTTCGGCACACCACTCACACGCTTCGTGGCCCATAGGGAGCTCCACCGGAGGCCCAAGTGGCTGCGCCCGCGTGCCTCCGCCACACCCATGCACCCCTCACACGTTTCGTGGCCCCACAGGGACCTCCACCGCCACCGAAGGCCCCAGCGGCTGTGCCCGCATGTTTCCCCCACGCCAATTGCGGCACACCCCTCGCGCGTGTTGTGGCCCCATAGGGAGCCCCACCGAAGGCCCCAGCGGCGCCCACGTGCCTGCCCCACACTAATTTCGGCACACCGCTCACGTTTCGTGGCCCCATAATGCCCAAAACCCGGATCCCGACTGCCAGAAATTCGCATCCGCATATCTATTTGCTTATTTGTCCCCCTTGGGAAAAATCCGATGGATGCCCATCGATGCCACTTGTAGATACCTCGGTACCAGGGAGAATGCCGATGGGGATGTTCCCGTCTTCCGATCAGAGAATGAATTTTTTACATTGGGTTTTCGCCATTGGGTTTAGGAATTCAGCATCGCTCCCGTGGTATGACGTCTATCAGCGGTATACCGCCGCCGCGCGCGCGCGCGCGCGTTGGCCATTGGCATTTGTGCATTCAGTGTCGTATATCCACATGGGGATGCCCCCGTCATCCGATCAGAGAATGAATTTTGACAATGGGTTTTCGCCAGTGGATTTTGGAGTTCCACCTCGTTCCCGTTGTATAAAAACAATATCAGCGGCATGCCGCCGCGCGCGCGTTGGCGATTGGCATGTGTGCATTCCGTGTCACAGATCCACATGGGGATGCTCCTGTCTTCCGATCAGAGAATGAATTTTTACATTGGGTTTTCGCCATTGGGTCTGGGAGCTCAACATGGCTTCCATTGTATAGAGAATATATCAGCGGCATGCCGCCGCGCGCGCGCGCGCGTTGGCGATTGGCACGTGCGCATTCCGATTCGCATATCCACATGGGGATGTCCCCGTCTTCCGATCAGAGAATTTGTTTTTCTATCTAAATGGTTTTCGCCATTGGGTCTTGGGGTTCAACAGCGCTCCCGTTGCATCAAATCTACCAGCGGCATGCCGCCGCCGCGCGCGCGCGCTGGCGATTGGCATTTCTGCATTCAGTGTCGCATACGGCCGGCACAAGGCTTAAGAACTTCGGTTTTTCGGGGAGGGTGCCCTTATGTTCTTCGTTTTTGTTCCATGTTCTTGTGCACCCTGGGGGAGGGTATCCTCGATGTTCTTCAGTTTGGCGCCATTATTCCTTCGTTCTGACAAAGCTGGGGTTCGGGGCTCACGATTCGGCTACGAGCGTCCGCGGCGGGGGCGGGACCCTCCATGTTCTTCGGTCCCGAAGTCACGGTGCGGCCTTCAGCAACCGCGTGCCCCTTCATGATGGTGGTGCGATTGCAATCACCCTCGCATGTTCTTAGGGGACTGTTTGGCGTTGGTGGGCTTCGGGCTGCGGGGCTTAGGGCGTGCGGATGCAGGCTTGATTGAGGCTACGTACGCACGTAGGCCGCAGGGCTCGCGCGTCCGCGGCACGGGCAGGACCCTCCATGTTCTTCGGTTTCGATGTCAAGGTGCGGCCTCCAGCAACCGCGTGCCCCTTGATGATGGCGGCGTGAGTGCAATCACCCTCGCATGTTCTTAGGGGGGAACTTGGCGCTGGTGGGCTTCAGGTTTCGGAGAGTAGGGTGCGCGGCTGCAGGCATGAGGCTAGGGCGGGCGGGCGAAGCCACGCGCAGCTTCCTGGGCTGCGGCAGGGCTGAGAGGTTGGATGTGCGGATGACGTTCAGGACGTAGCGCTGACGTCGGTCCTATGCTAAGGCCCATGGGGTAGGCCGCAGGGCTCGCGCATCCGCGGCGCGGGCAGGACCCTCCATGCTCTTCGGTCTCGATGCCAAGGTGCGGCCACCCGCAACCGCGTCCCCCTGGGCATCAGAGCGGGGTATGTGCGCGCGTGCGTGCGTGCGTGTGTGCGTGCGTGCGTGCGCCCTACCGAGGGCCGCGCAAAACTTGACATGCGCGTCTGCGCTGCCGAAAGCGAGTTAAGAGGCCCGCGTTGTCAGCAATAGGAGAGTCGCCATGTTGGCTTGGAAAATCACAGTGAACCTTCAGCGTCGCCAGTCAGATTTCCAAGTTAGCATGGGCTCTGGCGCATGCGTTCAGCAGCGGCGCATGCAACCACTTCTCGCCCGCGCCTGCGCCGCCGCGCGCGCGGCGGCGCAGGGGCGTGGGGCGCTCAGTGTTATCAGCAGTAGAAGAAGCGCCATGTTGGCCTGGAGAATCAAAGTGGACCACTAGCGGTTGCCGATTGGATTTCCAAGTCAACATGGGTTCTGGTGTACGTGTCTTGCAACGGCGTATACAACAACCCCTCGCGCGCGCCCGCGCCGCCGCGCGCGCGGCGGCGCCGCCGCGCGCGCGGCGGCGCGTGCGCGTGTGGTGCCCCGCGTAATCAGCAATCGAAAAGTTGCCATGTTGGCCTGGGAAATCAAAGTGAACCCTTAGTGGTTGCCGATTGGATTTCGAAGTTAACATGGGTTTTGGTGCGTGTGTTCTACAACAGCGGAGACAAACACTCCTCGCGCGCGCCTGCGCAGCCGCGCGCGCGGCGGCGTGCGCGCGTGCGGAGCTTCGCGTTATCGGCAATAGAAGAGTCGCCATGTTGGCCTGGAAGATCAAAGTGAACCCTTAGCGGTTGCCACTTGGATTTCCCAGTTAACATGGTTTCTGGTGCATGTCTTCTGCAACAGCGCGCGCAAAACTACTCGCGCGCTCCTGCGCCGCCGCGCTCGCGGCGGCGCGCGCGCGCGAGAAACGCCGCAGCGCCAGCAATAGGACAGTTGCCGCGTTGACTGGGGAATTCAAAGGGAGCCCTTGGAAGTGGGCAGTTGATTTCCAAGTTAACATGGGTTTTGGTGCATGTGTTCTGCAGCGGCGCATGCAAACACTTCTCGCGCGCGCCTGCGCCGCCGCGCGCGCGGCGGCGCCGCCGCGCGCGCGGCGGCGCAGGGGCGTGGGGCGCTCAGTGTTATCAGCAGTAGAAGAAGCGCCATGTTGGCCTGGAGAATCAAAGTGGACCACTAGCGGTTGCCGATTGGATTTCCAAGTCAACATGGGTTCTGGTGTACGTGTCTTGCAACGGCGTATACAACAACCCCTCGCGCGCGCCCGCGCCGCCGCGCGCGCGGCGGCGCGTGCGCGTGGGGCGCCCCGCGTTATCAGCAATAGAAAAGTTGCCATGTTGGCCTGGGAAATCAAAGTGAACCCTTAGTGGTTGCCGATTGGATTTCGAAGTTAACATGGGTTTTGGTGCATGTGTTCTACAACAGCGCAGACAAACACTCCTCGCGCGCGCCTGCGCCGCCGCGCGCGCGGCGGCGTGTGCGCGTGC